TCCCACGCTGCTTCTGTGGGCCTGAACCCCACCGTAGCCCCCCGCGAGCACCTTTGGGGTGATCCAAGGGCACGTTTGGGGTCATCTGAGGGCACTGGGGAGCCCGGCAGTGCTGGGGAGGGAGCAGCTCGGAGGGCACGTGCTTCGTGAAAGCTTTCAGTCTCTTCATATAGCGCCTGGAAGATGGCTTGGTTCAAGTAAACAGCGTGCGGGAGATCTGAAGGCAACCTTGATGAGTTTTGGCTTGAAGATCAGCTTGACAAACTCCTAGGAGGAATGCTGGGTGTTGGCCACTCTCGGGATAGTTCAGAAGGGATTTGGGCCAAAAAGCTGTTAGTGCCTGACTGCCTCGCTCCAGCGATTTCCTTCTGCAGGCAGGCTGGAAAGTTGGGATTGTTTCTGATATTGTTGTGCTGGAGTGGATGGTCCAATAATAGGAAGTTGAAAGGGTGTTTTCATTAAGCTGTGTCTGGAGAAGTTATGAAGCAGATATTCAGGGCCCTTGGGGGAAGTGAAAACAACAGAGAATGGAATATCTGCAAAATCCAGTAGTTAACACTGAAAACTTACGATGCTCTTCCTCAGTTATCTGTGCTGGGGCAACGTAGGAAAGCATCGGACTGTAGTACTACATGGCAGCCGCAGAAGAAACAACTTTTTGACGTCCTTCATTTCAGTTTTTGGTGTGAGGTTGAATTTTTTCCCTAATCTATTCTCTGGACACAGGTTATGACATCTGCAGTTACAGCTTTAAGCGCTCCCTTGGTCGGGGAGCGAGATCCCACCGCGTCCAGCTGTACCGCTGAGCACGGCTGGAGGCTCGGCTCCGCTCCCCGGCTTTCGGCACAGGGCGTTGGCGCTGGTGCTGGACCCTTCGCGCGCCCATGCTGGTGCGGGGCTGCTCACCTAGCTCTGGGACAAGCATTCGTGAGCCTTGGCAGGTTTGGAGGGGATGAAGGGTTTCTTCCATTGGGATCTACCACGTTACTGCTCTGCGAGCGCTCTCGCTGCGGCCGGAGCGTTCGTGGCTGGTAAACTCCTGGCTATCAATCCCACCCTTTGCACGGAGGGACAGTGCTGAGGGGTGATGCCCGATATCGTCACGTGCGCTGCCAGAAGCGGGGAAGAAGCCCTGCTTCCATTAAATCTTCACCCATCGCTGCTGCAGATCTTGGGGCAGGAACCTCGCTGTCTGGCTGGAAGTAGCCGAGGTGGAAGCAGGCTCGGAAGTTTTTACGGGCGTGACGAGTTGTTCAGCGTTGGGCAGACGTTCCTGTATTTAAAAGGCCACACTGAGCCAGACTGTGTGCAGTAAACAGTTAATCTCTGCTCTTTTCAAAATGCAGTCTTCAAATGCTGACCAAGTAAGAATCCAATCGCATGCAGCTGGATGCTGGTCTGTACGGGGAATGGCAGAGAGCCAACTGGCTGCCCCCGAGCTCCTCACACCACAATAGGAAAAATGCCTCCAGCAGGGAACTCCCTTCCTTCAGCTGCAGGCCAGAAGCTGTTAACTGTGCAGACCCCACCGTCCCACACCGTTCAGAACTCGGCGTGAGCCAGCGTTTACCCTGCTGTGAAGCTAGGGACCGGTTGAGTAGGAGACTCAGTTTTGGATAGTTTCTTGGCATTTGCTTTGCTTGTTGCAGGGCATCAGTGACCAAACACTTTCCTTTTACTGCAAAACCAATAGTTGGGTGGAGTTACAGAATCCCAGAATCCCAGCATGGCAGGGTTGGCAGGGCCCTCTGTGGGTCACCCAGCCCAACCCCCT